ACATTCATCCGGACAGCCAACAGACACATGAAAAACGGCTGTTCATCATCACTGGCCATCAGAAGAAATGCAAATCAAAACCACATGAGATACCATCCTCACACCAAGTTAGCAATGGCGATCATTAAAAAGTCAAGGAAACCAACCGGCTCATCGGAGAGGATGGTGGACCGGAAATAGGAACACTTTTACACTGTTGGTGGGGATTGTAAAACTGAGTTCAACGCCATCTATGGAAACAAGTATGGCGATTCCTCAAAGGATCTAGAACTAGATGTACCATATGAACCCCAGCACCATCCCATTTACTGGGTATATACCCCAAAAGGATTAAAATTATGCTGGTGCTATAGAAGACACATGCACACGTATGTTTATGGCAGCACGTATTCACAAATAGCAAAGACTTGGAATCAACCCAAATGCTCCATCATACAGATTGGAATAAGAAAAATGTGGCACATATACACCATCCGGAATACTATGCTAAGCCCATAAAAACCAGGATGAGGTTTGCTGTCCTTTGGTCAGGCCGCCCTGGATGCAGCTGGAAACCATCATTCTCTAGCAAACTATCACAAGACCACAACCAACACACCGCATGTTCTCACTCATGGTGGGAACTGGAACCATGAGACTCACTTGGACTCAGAAGGGGAACATCACAGGGGCTTCATCGGGAGGGGGAGGGGGACGGCACCTGCATTGGGAGCTTTAATGAATGTAAATGACGAGTTGATGGGTGCAGCACAGCAACATGGCACAAGTATACATATGTAACAAACCTGCACGTTATGCACATGTACCCTACAACTTAAAGTATAGTAATAATAAATAAATTAAAAAAAAAATCACTTGTACCCAAATGATACTGAGATTTAAAAAAAATTAAAATTTTTGTTTCAAAATTATAATAAAAAGTTGATAATTTAGGCCTTGGAGGAGCTGTGGTTGTAACACTCTACAAGATGGGTTTTCCGGAAGCCACCAGTTCGTTTAGAACTCATCAAATTGAAGCGGCTCCAACCAACTCTGCAAGTGATGGATTTAAGGCAAATCTTGTCTTTAAGGAGATTGAGAAGAAACTTGAAGAGGAAGGGGAACAGTTTGTGAAGAAAATCGGTGGTATTTTTGCCTTCAAGGTGAAAGATGGCCCTGGGGGTAAAGAGGCCACCTGGGTGGTGGATGTGAAGAATGGCAAAGGATCAGTACTTCCTAACTCAGATAAGAAGGCTGACTGCACAATCACAATGGCTGACTCAGACTTCCTGGCTTTAATGACTGGTAAAATGAATCCTCAGTCGGCCTTCTTTCAAGGGAAATTGAAAATCACTGGCAACATGGGTCTGGCTATGAAGTTACAGAATCTTCAGCTTCAGCCAGGCAACGCTAAGCTCTAAGGAACTCCCTTTGGCTACTTTGAAAATCAAGATGAGATATATAGATATATATCCATACATTTCATTGTCAGAATTTAGACTGAAACTACACATTGGCAAATAGTGTGGGATAGATTTGTTTTTAAATGGGTGTGACCAATCCTGTTTTTCCTATGCTCTGGGTGAATAGAGCCTGATGGTAGACTACTGCTTTGCGGAATTGCATACAACTGTGCATTACAAAGTTAATATGGTAATTATGGTCTGGGGTAAAATTGAGTTTCAGAATAAAATTAGGAACAGTAAAATCCAAAGAACTATGTAAACAAAAAAGCTTTTGTTTTGCTTACAAAGTATATTTAAGGATTATTCTGCTGAAGATTCAATTTAAGAGTTTTCCTTGGGAGAACTAAGTAAGAAACACAATGCCAACAGCTGGCCAGTAATTAGTGTTGTGCACTTAATGTCCTTAATCAATTTCTCAATAGTTCTTGAAATTAGTGAGATTAAGAAAAAAGTCTAAAAATTTTGCATGTCATGCTATCAGAAACAGTATTTTCTTCCCAAATCAAAATAAAAGAAATATGATCAGAAAAAAAAAAAAAATTATAATAAAAAGTTTAAAAAAAAAAAAACAGTATAAAAGTGTTAGTTTCTAGTACATTACATAGCAAGCCCCTTTTGCTTAGTACCACACTCAACTACTGGAGAAACAAAACCCTGAAAATTAAAGAAGAACCTGCACATAAATAATAATTCTGACAAGTTATTTATACACTGCCTATATGAATATTACAGATATGTGCTAAAGACAAAGATGTAAGTTAGATCAGGTCAGCTTTATGCTTGGTCATTTTATTTCCAATTCTTCTCTCTCAAAATACAGCAGTCATGGATGGCCACGGTGATTATTCCAAATGCATTGTGATCATATGGAACTGGTGACATGTTCTAATTTCTCTTTCAGTTATAAAATAAACCTGATGTTCCTAGCCACCAAAATCTCACCAACACCTACTACTTCAGTTTCAACTCTGGTTCCTATTTCAAGGAAATCACTCAAGGTTGCAAATCACGGAAAGACAAGAATGTTTTCATTAACCAAAACATTAATAAAAAATTATACCCCTCGAGGCCATATAATTTGGCTTTTATTTAGTTTTTATTTAGTTTATTGTGTATTTAGGTCCACAAAGCCTACAACTGCAACAATATATACAGTTCATCATGACCTAATATTTATTGAATAGTAAAATTAATACATGTTAAGAGTAAATCTGGCTTCAGGTAATCAGGGCTGAAGTGATAGGTGCAGTGGTCAAAGACAAATGTCAATGAAACGCACAACAATACTTTAAATGTCTCAGAATAAAGTCACATAGGAGAATAAATGAAAGAAAATAGAAAAGTTGTTAATTAGATTAAGAAGGAATTAAACCTGATTTTAAAATAGAGAGATAAAGACATACAATATAAAATTACTGAAGAACAAGTAGCATAGGCAGAGGAGTACTAAAGGTATGATAGGAAAGAAATGTATCTGAAAATATTAGTTTCTGAATTAAGATGGTAAATGTAGAGACCAGACAAAAAGAGTTGCTCCTACACATTAACAAAACAAGCAAAAACGCTAGAGAAGCTACAAATGAATGGTCGGTTCTTCCTGAGCCCTTTAGAGAACTGAGGTCACAGGGGAAGACAACAAACTCAATATCAGGGCATGCAGGAGTGCACCCTGAAGACCATGTGAACTGGTATAATTAAGCCAGAACATTTGAACTAGTTTCTGGTGGCTGGTGTGTGGGTAGGTGAGGAGAATGAGAAACCCTGGAGTCTACAGACATAGAGTTTACATTTTTGTGTATATTATTTCTAGGAACCCTCCAAGGTCTGTTAGAGAAGAAGGGGTAGAATCCTGAGAATGTTTTCCCCACAGTGCTGATGGGGAGAGACCACTATCCCATCTACTGCTACAACTCTGGAGACATGCTTCTCCCACCTCCCCTATATGACACAAGGCCTAATCTGCAGAGAAAGAGCATCCAAACCTGATCCAGTGGACACTGTGGAAAAACTCACCACAGCTGAGTGTGGAAAAACAAGGCCAACACACACATCTCTGCACAGATACATCTCTCATAAAGAAATTAAAGTGTTAAGTTACAGGGCACTGTTGCAGACCCACTTCAACTGGAAGCTAGGAACATGGACAAGGAGCATCTGTACCACTGGGGGAGAGACAGCAATGTGCTTTTGTCCTGGCATTGCATCTACAGGAGGGGCAGGAAACTCTTTGAAGTGACCCCACACCCCAATTAACAGTGCTAAGTGTGAGGCTCCCTCAGAACATCAGAGATATATCCTCACTCCCTCACCCCTGCCACTAGGCTAAGAAGCATGGAGTTAAAAAAAAAACCAAAACAGTGGAATATAGCTGGGCCAAGTGCAAGAGGCCGAAGTATAATGAGAGGGATTTGATTTTTTTTTTTTTTTTTTTTTTTTGACAGAGTCTCGCCCTGTTGCTCTGGCTGGAGTGTAGTGGCATGATCTCAGCTCACTGCACCCGTCACCTCCTGGGTTCAAGTGATTCTTCCAACTCAGTCTCCCAAGTAGCTGGTATTACAGGCACCCACCACCACACCCCGCTAAATTTTTTTGTATTTTTAGTAGAGACTGGGTCCCTCTCTGGTGGTAAAATTGATGAGAATATGACACTTTTTATCATTCATCTAGTAAAAATAAGACAAAGTGTCATTTTTCTGATATAGATTTATACTTCAGTATGTGTCAGGCAGACTGTAAAGCACTCTATCAGAATTTTAATAAAATAATGCAACACTAAATGTTAAATATTATATACTTATATACAATTATTATTATATTGTCCAAAATAGCATATTCTCTACAGCATATTTTGCAGTAGGTTTGTAAATAGCTTCTTTCTCTCACAACAATTTTTCTGATGTCTGATCAAGCCCATAGACTTTATAATCAGTCTTTGGTTCCTGGTCCATTTAATGGTGGTGTTTTCCCTAACATCCATAATTGTTCATATGCTTTGTGGCTCACAGTATTGAGAATATCCCAAGATATAAGTGAGGATAATGAAGATAAACTTGATCTGTATTATCTGCCTTCTGAGAGTGCTCAAGGGCTTTACCTTCAACCCAAGGGCAAGCTGGTTGCTACGTCTCATAGTGAGTGCTGAGTTTTGCATTTAGATTGGTAAGTGTATGCTGTATCAGACAGAAGCACATTCTTCTTTATACTCAGATTGACCTATGTGACTTCATGGGTTTTTCTTCTGTTTTACTCGGGTATCACCAGGTTTTCAGATCTCATGATTACTTTATTTTGGAGTTGCCAGACTCAGCAAATAAAAATACAGGACACACAGTTAAATTTAATATTCAGAAAGAAAACAACTTTTTAATATAACCATAAAAGAAACATTTGCATGTAATATTTCTATGCCCACCTATTGTATATTACACACATACACACACACACACACACACACACACACACACATCTTTTTACTTACCTGAATTTCATGTTTATTGCTCTTGGACTTTTTTGGTTGACCTCAATCCATAAGAACTATAGTTCTCCCCAGTACAGTTTCAGCACCAATGACCAAGTCTCATCGGAGAAGGAGGCCACATGATGATCTAGCAGATAGACTCTTTATTCAGAATGTGAGAGTCATTTACAGACTGGGGACATAAATTAGAAATGATGAGCTGGATGTCTTTTAGGGTGAAAAAATAAAATATTAAATTTCTAATCCATGTTACTTTTTCAATTTATTTCTGTTACATAACCTACGATACAGACAGAATAATAAAATAATTCTGATACATAGTTAATGAATAATTCCACATATATACATGATTTATATCCAAATATTGCTTTATTTTAGTGGTTTGTTAACCTTATAATCTGGAGATCATTGAGCCTTTCTGTGAATATTCTCCTGGTGTTTTTCCTGAGTGCAACATGGCAACAGATTTTAACTGAGCTGAGGGTCCAAATGTGCATTGTTGAGAACTATCAATTGCTTGGTTCTGGAAGAACCTTGAAATAAATATGTTCCTTTATTAGATTAACTGCTTGAAGAAAAAGTAAATAAGATACTGCAATTTCTCTTTATAAACTCATACGTATCAGGTATGCAAATTCTCCCGTATGAACTCATACATATCAGATATGCACTTTCTCCTTTATAAACTCATACATATCAGGTGAGTTTAGAGCAATATTCTACCTCAGCCATGATTCTCTGAGTACAAGCCAAGAATGCAAACTGTCACATGATCTGCATTGCCTTACATGTTTATGCTTATGGGCCAGAGTAGTTTTAAGTGAACTTGAAAATAATTAAACACTCTTACATCTCAGAGGAGGAATACAGTGAGTAGCAAAGATTTTTTTCAGCATTTTACAGCTGAATTGTTCTACATCCAGTATTAAACTGATTTAATAAAATAATACTGCCAGCATCCAAAGAAGATAACATGAGAACAATTTCTGAATTATTCAGTACAATTTCATAATAATATTTTGATACAGAGATCTCTCAACATATGAGAGAAACTGTCTTTATTATTTGAGAGCAAAGTATTTCTGAACGCATGAGTATCTTTATATTAAGTGAAGTCTTAAGAAAAAGATCCCCACGTGAGCATTAATGTAACTTTATGAATGCCGTAAGTTTGAAAACTGTGTTTTTGTTCTGTGAAAAATTGAGAGCAGGACTTTTTAGCACTTCCGTTCTGAGATGATAAAGAGAGTTAATATAAGGGGTCTCATATAAAACTAAGCTGGAGGAGAACCAAAGCATTTTGAAAAGATACAGTTAGTACAACAATGTTCATATCCTAAACTCCAGAATCTGTGAATATCTTACGTAATGTGACAAAGGAAAATTAAGTTACAGATAGTAACTTAATATCGTGAAACTGACTTCAGGATAAATTATCTTTATCATTAGCAGAAGCCCCATTTAATTAGAAGGGCACTTAAATATGAAAGAGGGAGAAAAAAAGAAACTTGTATCAGAGTGATGTGATATTAGATCGACTCAATGCAGTATTTTTTTCCTATAAGAAAATTTTGGGGGATTATTTTCCCATTAGCCTAAAGTTCAATTCTGTTGTACAAACACCTGTGATTTATTTTTACATACATATTACTATGGATGGTGAGAATTAAACAAAAAATGCAGAAAATAAAGAAATGCTTTCTGAGGAGTGAGCCCCAGGTACTATATTATATGAGTATA